ACTAACAGTGGTGTCGCCGCCGGGAACGGAGGTCTGGTTGCCGCCCACCGGATTAACACCACCACCTGTCGCGCCGCCAGAGCCGGGAGATACGGGCGGCGCTCCGGATGAAGCTCCACCCGGAGGACCAATGGTGGGCGGAGGCGGTACAGTGGCTGTCGCGGCGGCGCAACCAAACAGGTCGCCAACTTTTCCCTTCTTGGCACTAACAATCGTTTTCACTCCCGTCTGGTCAAGCGATACGGTACTGATATTGTACTGACTGTCAAACATCTCAATGATAGTAAACTCCCAATTGTTGCCACTCTTGACATAAGTGTCGGACAGAGTGAAGCCGGCGGTTACGTTTGAAAAGATTATCTCACAATCTTTGCTGCTGTTCTTGTCGTGCGTCCAATCGATCTCATGTTGTGAACCATAACTGACGGGTTTAGCGATTATGATGTGGCGCCGGATGTTCCAGCCTTTAACGTCGGCTCCAGTCGGCAATGGCTGTCCCGCCGGTAACTTATCTGTCCATTTGATTGGTTATAGAAATCGGATTTATAATGGATTTAAAATGGATTTTTTTCTCGTAAAATATTTACCGTAATAATAGACAAAATATCGTCTCTGAAGACCACTCGCACTATCGATGGGGGAGTTAATGATGGCCTGAATCCTGTTGTGGAGGTCCTCCTGAGGGAACTTTAGGAATAGTGTCATAATATTGTCCGGATCTTCGTTTGGCTTATATTTGTACAGATTTACGTTAACCCTATTGATAGGGTTTATAGACTCAATGGCGGCCGTTGTCGCCGGTATCTTATATGCGATCAATTGGTCGATGTCGTCCTCCTGTTGGCCGCGGAAGGCAAACAAACATGTGTTTAGATGTGGTGTCAAAGATGTGACTGAAAGATCAGCGCTCAGGACATACCTTCTGGTTAGTGACGGCCAAGAGATCATTGCCGAGAGGAAACCATAGGCCTATACCGCGAACCATATTGACTACCGTCTGGTTGACGGCGTTTTGTGTCCATTTGGGATCAAGTTCGGTGAGGTCTGTGAACGAGAGCTCGTGCGTTGTCGCCTTATACGTGTACTTCGCCTCGTAATACGTGTTCTTCGAGCCATCGCTTGAGATCAGAATCACTTCGTTAGCGGTTCCGATACGAAACGCTTCGACGACTTGCGGCAGATTATTGGGACCGCAAATGGCCGGAGGAGTGCCACCGCTTTGCTGCAGAACCACATCCTTCTCATCCTCTTCAGCGCCGCCGCCGTCGTTGTCATTGTCTTCGCTGTCGGGCTTTGCGGTGAGCTCTTCGATGACCACATCCGCGACATCATCTTTGAATGGGTCGCCGTCTTCCGCACCACCGCTCGTGTCTTTACCCGATTCTACCAATGATTCCACATTCGGGTCGTCTTCGAGTCGTTTCCTGAACTCTTCTGCGTCTGAATCTGCGGCCAGTTTGTCAGCCAATGACTCTTCAGGATTCACTTTCTTGCGATTATCTGATCCATGATTCTTATGAACAGCGCTTTCGGTTTTCTTTTCCTTCTCTTCTTCAACGTCTCCGTCGTCGACATCAGTGTCTGGTTTTCCAGTGATGTCTTCGATAACTACATCTCCTTTTATATCTCCAAAAATATCTTCGCCGGCCGTGTCTTTACCCGACTCTACCAATGACTCCACGTTTGGGTGCACTTCGAGTCGGCGCCTGAACTCTTCGGCGTCTGACTTACCGAACGGTTCCGCAGTCACTGATTGCCGACTATTTACACCTCTATGAGCGGCCGATCCTTTCCGTAGCACTTCATCATTGATGTCATCGATGAACTCAGGCTTTCCTTTTCCACTCATTGTCTTCTTCCCGACCTCTTCTTCTTCGACGACCTCTCCGTCGCCGTCGTCTTCTTTGTCGGGTTTTCCTGTGATCTCTTCGATGACCACATCTCCGGCCACATCACCGAACAGTTCTTTGTCCAGCTTTCCGGTCGAGTCTTCGGCCGACTTCAGTAACGACTGGTCATTCGTGTCTTCGAGCCGTTGGACAAACTCCTCAAAGTCTGAATCTCCCGTCAATTCGTCGCCGATTTTGTCACTAATTTTATGGTCTCTTTTAACCCTTTCTTCACATCTGATGACATCGATTGCGATGACAAACACCAGAAGAAGATGAAGCAAATGTGCGAATCTTAATCTCAAACCAAATACCATTCTTTGAATCAAAGATAGACTTATTTCAAGAAAAACAGTTTAAAGATAATTAATTGTCAATTAAACGGTTCGTTAAAAGTTTGCTTGAATTCAAACTGTAGTTCTTATGTGAAATAAATACAGAATTTATTAAACAATATATGCTTTAAAAAATGAATGAGATTTGAATGCATTCATCAAATGTAAGCTTATTGTTGACATTACACATAAATTAGTGTTCAATTTAAAGCAGTTTTTTAATTTTAAATTAATTGCAAATGAATTAAGATTAGTTTAATTAATAGAAATAGTCATCATTTGGTTTTACAAAAAGATTAGATTTATTAAAGATTTTTATATAAAATACAAACACTTTATAAAAAGTAATAATACTCGAGATCTTATTAATGTTATTCAAGTCATTCATTATTTAGTAATTAAAACAATAATTTTTATAGAAATTTTGAGTAAATTTTAAGCACATATAGTAATCGATTAAAATAAGCAATTAAATACAATGTTTTATAATTAAATAAAACTAATTTACATCAAATAAAATAAAGTAAAAGCATTGAAAAATCAGCAAAAAATAGACAAAATGTTAATTATATAAGAATAATGAAAATTATAAATGAATACATGATTTGAAACGATATTAAATTAAGGCTTAAAAAAGAGAAATAATCAAACAATTGATAGAAATAGACGTCAATAATAAGAGCCGCCGTATTGTCGACGACGTCTTCCCGCAGAGTTTAGACGAGTCTTCTTTAGGGACACAGAGTTGTGGAAACTCTTGTCCGGCGACGGAGTGAACAACACTTCCTTCATGAAGGGATCGCTTCGACCCAATTCGGCTAATGGACAGTAAGACCTGAAAAGCACAACATTTCAGTTAATATTATTAAGAGAGAGAGAGAGAGAGAGAGAGAGAGAGAGAGA